TGGCAGGGCCCGAAGCATCCTTTGACCCCACCTCGGGTTGGAAGTGCCACATTGTGCGGCAGCTACAGCAGCGGGACCGCACGCAGAAGGCACTTTTCCTGGAGCTGGTGCCGGCCTGTGAGTGTGCCCTTGGGCATCTTAGAAAATGGCCATTGAGGAGGCTGGGCTCCCGGCCTGGGAAGAGGGTTTGGCTGTTCAAGCCGTGACCCAAGTGCTTCAGCGCCTTCTGGCTTCCGAGGGAGGCCTTTTGACTTGAACCTGTCTGCCACGCCCCACTTCTGAATGGCCAGGATTCCCGTCCCTTCCAATCCAGGCTCTGCTTAGAACTCTCTTGGGCGGAGAGATCCTTGTTGATACCCCCTCAAGGCTCCGCTCAACCCCCACGAGCTGGGTTTCCTAGAACGTTTGCCCCTGAGTATTGTTTTTGCCAGGTCTCTTGTGCTTTTCTCCCTGTCAGATGGTCCCCAGGACCAGATCAGACCATTTAGTCTCTAACCCAGTGAAGGAAGGCTGGACTATCCAGAGCAGCCGCTTGTTGATGGATCTAGGGTAACAGTGAAACTCTTAATCTCTAAGGAGAAAACTCTGAATCTGGGCTTTGCTGCCGCCTATAGATGATTGGGACACATGAAGCTTCTCTGTGCTCAGCACACCCCAGCCTGAGGGAGAAGCAGGGGTCGCAGGATTTCTAAGGGAGCTGGGAAGTCAGATTCTTTTGGAGCTTTCTGGGCAGCTGGAGTGTGTGTTGGGGGTAGGGGTGGGGCAGTTCAGGATGGGATGAACTAGAGTGGATCTGTGTGTAGGACCATTGGTCACCTGAGATTGTATGTTTGGGGTTGGAAGTTTTAGTTTTTTTCACTAGTTCCAGCCTGCCCTGGAACTAGTGAGAAAAGTTTGGGGTTGGCCACAATCCCTGCTGCTAATCTCACTGGAGCTAATCTTGGTAAGTCTCCAAGACCCAATCTGTTTCTTATCGTGGGAAATCACTCTGCAATCTTCCAGGTGCTGGGCCTTTTTCTTGATGGTCCTGAGGCTCTCCCCTACTTCCAGGCAGCCTCACTTAAGGGCTCGGATAGACAGGGGAACCTCCCAGTTTGAGGAAAGAGTCACCCACAGTCCCTTTTTGGGACTTCCAAATCTAAGGGTCTGGAGCAACCCAGAAGGCTGAAATCAGAAAGACTGAAATTCCTGTTATCTCTGTGGTCTTGGGTAGTTCATGTCCCTAAGCTTCAGATTTATTCTATGTAAATTAGGCATAATGGAACCTTTTTAAGATTTGCTGGGGACTAGTGCTGTGCCTTTACTACAGCTGAGGTGGGGTTTTGTATGAGAACTAGACTAAATCCAGCGACCTCGGTCAAGGTGACAAGCAGGGCACTGGGTGAGGGAAGGTTGCTGAGAAGCTAGGCCTGGGCTTACCACCCCCCAGCCTGCTCCGGAACTGAAAAGAGGAAGTTATCGTGGATGGTGGTGGGTGTGTGTAATCCAGGGTCTAACCACCTAACCTAAGAAGATCTGTTGGATAATTGCTCAAGGACTTTCTATTTTGACCTGGGGGAACTTGCACCAACTCTGGGGAAGTTAGGATTACTTTAGTGTGAAGTTAGAGCCCTTAAAGGGGAAGTGACTTGCTAAAGGTCATAGGCTAGTACAGCTTTTTGTTTCATCATGCTCTGGAGCCAGCCCTGTCTGGGGCAGAGGTGAATCAATCCTAGGCCCCTTGCATCCTTCAGGACCCTCATCAGGCAGGACCCAGCCATCCTGTTGCCAGGAGTAGGGGTCCTTCTGTCCCTGGGAGAACAGGTCTTCTCCTGGGTGACATGGTGGTCTATGCCAGCACTAAAGGTCCTGTAGAGATGCACAAACAACTCTCAGGCAAGGGGCACAACCCATCCACAAGTAGCTTCCTCATTTCCAGCATCCCTGGACTCCTGTAGCCTTTCTAGCCATAGGTAACTTGTATGCCAGGGGTTGGCTGGAAGGTGTCTATCTCTGCCTCAACTCACCCTCTTGCTCCCCCAGATAATCATCTCCTAGAAAAAGCTGAGCTGTTGGCCAAGTTCTCAGAGAAGCTTCATATGAAGCCAAATGATGTTACTTCTGCCACCCATCAGAGCTTCTGGTAAGTGTATGTATCAGTGATCATAATAGGCTGCCTGTTTCTAGTCCCTCCTGCCACCCAGCCCCCATGCTGGGTCATACTCTCCCAGCACTTCAGTGGCTCCTAGCTGCTACTCAGGGGTGGATCTGGAGAGGCAGGCCCTCTCCCAGGCCAGCTGCTTTAAAATCTCCTTTCTCCTTCTTTCTCTGCATTTTTCCTATCCCTTTCCCCTCCTAACCCTGCACTCCTGTCTTTCCCCCTTAGCCTTTTTCCATCTCCCTGTTCCTTACCTGATGCCTACAGAAAGGATCTTGCTCCCTATTCCAAAGAGAAAGAGAGTGAAGACTAGATCAAGGAATGGGTTGGGGCCAGAGTTAGCAGGTGTTTTTTGAGGAAGGTCCTTGGCAAGGAAACACAAGGCCAGAGCACAGGACTCATGAAAGCTCATTTCTGAGATTTGCTCTTTCCTTTTTTTTCCTTTTTGTGGTGCTGGGGATGGAACCCAGGGCCTCTCCTATGCTAGACAAGCACTCCACCACTGACTGCTCTTCAATCCTTGCTTTTTCCTTGAGTGGCTTTCAGGCTTCCATTTTCCTCAAGAAAAAGTTAACGGCTCTTGTTTCAGGCTTTTCATGGGACACTGGGAGCCTTTGAGCATTGGGGTGAATGGAGGGGACATAAGTACCACTCTCTGGTTGGTTGGCAGGGAGGAGTCAGGGCCTGACTCAGACCAAAGCTCACCACAAGATACTCTGAGGGTGAAGTGGCAGAAGGAGGAGGAGGAGGGGCTCCGCCTGGACTGTGGTGAGGTAAGCTGGGAAAGGATCAAGAATGGGGCAGGGCCAGGATCTAGGACTTTGGGGCAGGGAGATACAATCAAGGGAACCAGGAAGTGAGCAGAACTTCCTGTGTTTGCTGCATCCCTTAAAGTCCAGTGCTGCAAGCACTGAGTGAGCCCTAGTATATGAGGCCTGGAAATGAAGCTGGGAAGGGTGTCAGAGTGCCCCTTGCAAGCCCTGGATGAAGAGGGTTCCGACATCGGCTGGAAAGAGTGAGACAATACTTCAGGGAAGTGGATGCTTGTGTAGGGGCCTGGCAGCCTGTTCCCCCTTATAGATGGTTTAGCCTACTCTGCTTATTCCCCCACTCACGTGCCTACTCTTCACCCCTTGTCCAGGCAACCCCAGGGCCCAGCATCAGGTGATGGTTAATATATACTTGCAGACAAACAACCAAGATTAATGTAGTCTGTAGGCAGGACTTGGCACTTCCACCTAGCATTACTGCCCTGCCTGTCCCCTGCAACGGCATCCCTTGGCTTCTGTTGTACCCTACTTATTTCCTCTGATTTTCTTCTTATATCTGTAGATTTTACTTCTGAGTTCCTTCTCTGGCTCCTTTCCTTCCTCCCTTTAAATGTGGGTGTTCATTTGGGTGTGCTCATTGGCTCCCATGGCCACAGGGATTTTCTCTTTCTTTTTCTCTTCTGACTCTTGGACCTGACTCTACCCAGCCTTCTTTTCTGCACACTGGACTCTTGCTCAGCTGAGACATCACATCTAAAATCATCTCCAGCTGGGGGTGATGGTGCACCCTGTAATCCCAGTGATTCAGGAGGTTGAGGCAGGGGGATTGTGAGCTCGAGGCCAGCCTAGGAAATTTATAAGACTCTATCTCAAAATAAATAAATAAAAAGAGCTGGGGATGTAGCTCAGTGGTAGAGTACTCCTGGGTTCAATCCTTAGGGCCACAAATAAAAAATAAATAAATAAGTAAAATAAATGAAATCACCATCTTTTCCATAATATAGCACTTAGCACTAGGCAAGCATTAGCTTAGTTAATCCTCTACATTGTAGGTACAGAGGGGGAAACTGAGACTTAGAGAGGTGGAATCTAGATTTGAAACTCCACCCACACAAATCCACTTTTTGTGATTTCTTCATTCTTTCAACAAATATTTATTGACAGTCGCTATGTCCAAGGAACAGGGAGTGCAGCTGTGAACAGACCTGGCCCTGTGGAGTTTTCAAGGGAGGAGAGTGTGCTGGGCCAGTAAACATGTGTCCAGTTACAGTAAGCCAAGTCACCTGCCCAACACAAATGTGGGAAGGGGTTACAGACAAATTGAGAGCCTCTCCCCCAGAGCTGTGATTGCAACTTGATAATGGTGTGACATGCCATCACAATTTGTAGATTTGTATTCATCAGGATACAGCACAGTTTCATCACCACCAGACATCCTTCTTGCTATCCCTTTTTAGTCACACTCACCTTTCCCCAAACACCCCTAACCACTGGTAACCACTCATCTGTTTTCCACCTCTATCATTTGAATTTTGACAAGTACCAATAAAAAAATATTGAGTGGTATAACACAACAGAAATGAAAGCAAGTGATAGGTGACGAGAATGGCAATGGTTGCTCAGTGGTGAGAAGGATTATAAATATTGTAAATTGGACCAGCTATGAAAGTAGGGGCCCTGTCTGCATGTGCAGGGGGTCTTCACAGTCCTTCACACAGGGAGTTATATCAGTGCAGGTAGACAGCCTCAGTCTCGCACCTCAGTCCATCCTTACCAAGCCCTTGTGAGAAAGTACCAGGAACAGATGTTAGCAATAAGAGTACCCCTCCACCCCGTCCCTTCCTTGTGATTATTTGCTGGGCCAGAGGTGCTCAGAGTCTGGCCCTCATTTTCCTCTTACCACACTGGTGGGCACTGCCTTGCCTTGGAACTGTTTTTCTCACTGACTCCTCAGCATTGAAAGAAGGGAACCAAATTTCATCTTCATGGCTGGCCCATCTCTTGGCTCTGGGGTTGAAGGAACGTGGAGTGAGGCAGGGGTAAATATGTAATGATTCTTACCCTACTTCCGGGCTGTCAGGGCAGCTCCAGGACTCAGTCTGGGTTCAGTACTCTCACAGTCCATTCCTGTTCTTAGCCTTGTGTGCTTCTGTATTCTGAGATCTGTGCTTGGGCAGGCCAGCAGTTGGTCAGGGATTGTAAAGAAAGCCAAATGTTGGAGAGGCAGGGAATAGAACTCACATCCCTTGAACCCTCCCTGTAGAGCAACACTTTACTTGTAGCATGATGTAGTTAGGTAGCTTGAGTTCAAATATCAACTGTCACTTAGCTGTGTGACTTTGGACAAGGCATTTAACTTCTCTGTAGCAATGTTCTCATTTGTAAAATGAGGCTGGTGGGTTTACTATATGGTGTTATTATGGGGATTAAAAGAGTTAATATGTGTAGAGTGCTCAGAATAAAGCATGGCACGTGTAAATGCTAGATAACCATCTGCTATTATTTTAAATATTTTTCTTCATAATAGTTCTGGGTTGCTCTATGGAGGTAGGGTGAGGGTCATCTCATCTGTACCCCTGCCTCATTCAGCATTCCTTCAACCCTATGGAGGTAGGCACTATCATTCCCATTTTGCAGATGAGGAAAACGAAGCTTGCTAAGGAGATTCACTTTCCAAGGGTCTCTACACCCCTAAGGTCACAGAGAAAATAAGTGGCACAGCACAGGAGTCAGACTTCTGAGCCTAGAGCCTCTGTTGCATCCTTATGCATGATCCTAAACTCATCTGAGCCTTGTTGGGAAGGGGCCGTGGAAGGTGGTGGCAGGCTCTGTCCCTCCAGCCTCACCTGCCTGAGAGGGGCGTAAGGCCTGGTGTGAGCCCTCCAGAGGTGCCCAAGACCACCTGTCCGCCCCCACAGATGGCCTACCAGGTGGTGAAGAAGAGTGCAGCCTTGGATGCCCTGCAGTCGGAGCTGGAGGAGCGGCAAAGCAGGTGAGTACCGGTAGGGTGAAAGGGACTGCGCCCTCCTCTGCCCCAGGGTTATTGCGTGGCCCCAACAGCTTTCCCCATGACCACCAAAGACCCCTGGCTTGTGTTTGGTTGATGCGAACTGCACGGCTCTGAGGGCGAAGGCTTGGCTGGGGACGTGGCTTAACCACCTGGCGGCCATGGGTACATCTCTCTGGGGTCTCTGGGGTCTTAGGCGGGTCCCCCCTGGGCGGTGATGGAAGCGTTTTGGGATGCACTGCCTGCGCTTCCGGTCCTCCAGGCTGGCGGCTGTGGAGGCCCGCGTGGCGCAGCTGCGGGAGGCGAGGGCGCAGCAGGTCAGCTTGGTAGAGGAGCTACGGAAGCAGAATGCGGCGCAGCGGAAGGCCTACGAGGCGCTGCGCGTGCACACTGGGCACCAAGAGGTGGCACTGCGCACGCTCCAGGAGGAGGCGCGCGATCTGCTGGAGCAGCTCTTGCAACGCAAGGAGCGCGCAGCAGCCGAGTGCAACTTGCGCAACGAGCGCCGAGAGCGGTAGGAGGGCTGGGCCCCAACCTGTTCTGTGGCTAGCCTCCTCAGAGTCTGGCCTCGCCCTTGCCTGAAAGGCAGCGGTGGGGACTGCCCCCTGGGGAGAATGTACTAAGTCAGGCTGGAACCTGAAGGCAGGGGCGTTTGGTACCCCACCTTGGAATCTTCTGGCTCCTAGGATGCTTTTTTCCCCACTAGGGCCAATCAGGCGCGGGTATCCCAGGAACTAAAGAAGGCTGCCAAACGGACTGTGAGCATCAGCGAGTAAGAGTGAGGAGGGACCGGATCTGACTCCTGTACTCTGTAGCTGCCCGACTGTCTGCCTATTTTTCCATCTAACCCCCCCCCCCACCGGTACACCTGATTGCCTGTGGACACAGCAGCAATCCAGGGTCCACTGGATCCTTGCAGAGCTGTGTGATCGTAGGAGCAAGTTCATGTGCCTCCCTCCCACTTGGACCCCTCCCCGCCCGGAATTCACATCTTCACCGTAATCAGTGCTTGGGCAGGGAGGGGCTGGCTTGTTGCTTTGGCCTTCTTGAGCTTTATTCCTCTCTCCCAGGATTCCACACACTCTACATGATGGGATCAGAGAGCAGACAGAGACTCTGGCTCTGGCTATTAAGCCTGAGTCCCTGGAGAGTGAGGCTTGTGGGAAGTGGAAAAGGCCTTTCAGGTGAGGACCCAGTTGGCTGTCTCAGAATTCTGAGGCTGCCATTGTCTTCTTCTAGGACCTTGGGGCCAGCTGGTGGGTTGGGGCTAGGAGTTTGGGGAGAAGCTGGGGTACAGCCCAGGACTGGTCTGACCTACAGTGCTTGGGGTAGTTGGGGTCATTTTCACTGAACATGCACTGCTTTCTCTTCTTCCTAGGACCAGAGCTCTGGGGTGGGGTTTAAGGCTTGTGAAGGGGTGTCATGAGGAGGGAACTGTGGGCAAGGCCCAGGGCTCATCTGTCCTAGGCATGTATGTATGTAAACACAGGTGTGTGCATGGGTAGGTATACACAAGGGACATGGACATATGTATACAGGAGCTTGGCTGCGAATACCTTAGTGTGTATGAACATAAGAACATATGTAGATGTTTGCTCACACTCTCAGTGCCCCCAAGTCTTGATTTACTTGTCATTGAGGCTGCTCTCTCCTGGCTCCGTTTCCCAGCCTGAAGGCTCTTCTCCTCAGTCTTTTCTTGTAGGTCCCTGGTGTCTAGGTCCTGGGATAGTGAAGGAACCTTGGGGAGGGGCTTGAGACACTGGTCTCCAAAGTTCTTGGCAGCCCTGGTGGGCTGAGACATCCCAGTACAGTTGGGCATTTCTGAGATTACTCAACAAGCTTAGGTTTCCCCTCCTCACTGCCCCCAGCCTTGTCCCAGCCTGAGGCCACTTCATCTGCCCACTCCCATATGCCCTAGCTCAGCCTCCCAGGAGCTTTTGTTTGTGAGCATTTGCCGAGGGTGGGGGGGTTGGTAGTTCTTACCATCATGGTAGAGACTTCCATTGTCAAGTCCCTCCCTGCCTACACTTTCCTGGGTTGGTCTGGATTACAACCCTCCTGATCTTCAAGGAGTCAAGTTCTTGTTCTAGGCTCTAGAGGTTATAAGTCTTCAGATCTCCAGCAAAGTATAGGGATGAATGATTGCTGTCTGCACACCTACCAGCCAGTCCCTTAGCACATGGTTCTCGGTTCTGCTCCAGGTCTGCCTCAGCCACCTCTCTGACTCTGTCCCACTGTGTGGATGTGGTGAAGGGGCTGCTAGAGTAAGTGTGTGTATTTGTGTATGTGAAGGGGTTGGGCCTGTTGGAGTCTCATGTCAGGCTTCTGGAGCCCAGGCTTGGTCTCTGTATGTGCCTCGTCTGTTCATCCATATGGTGCCCACTGTCTGTGTGTATCTCTTTTGGTCCCCAGAGGCAGGAGCCAGGTGTATGACCTCATTTTTAACTCCTACTCAGCTATCTTCCAGGCTCATAAGGAATCTGTCCTTATCCAAGGTCCTCACAGGGGACCAAGAGTTCCAGCCTGAGGCCAAATGGGAACTCTCACTCAATTGGGAAACTAAGGCTCAGAAATGTAAGAACTCATTCAGTCACAAAGCCAAGCAGTGGCAAGGCCAATACTAACCGTTAGCCCTGAAGTTTCCCTGCAACCACCAATCCTGCCCTTGTTCTGTGCTTTCCTGTGTATTCTCCACTCTATCCTGGGTTGGGGAACGGGCTGGTTGGATCCTGGGGCCATATTCTGCTACTGCCATGTCTGTTTCCTGTTGCTGCTGCCTTTGAAGCCCCCACATCAGAAGGCCTTGGTGAACATCCTCCTGACTCTACCCCTGCAGTTTCAAGAAGAGGAGAGGTCACTCAATTGGGGGTGCCCCTGAGCAGCGATACCAGAGCATCCCTGTGTGTGTGGCTGCCCGACTTCCTACTTGGGCTCAAGATGTCCTGGTAAGGGAGGAACTGGGCCACATGTGTGGGGGCCGATATGGGAGTGCAGGCACTAGGGGTGTCCCGAGCAGGCCAGGCAAGCAAGACTCCCAGTACCAGCAGGAGTTTGTCTCCACAGGCCATGGTGGGAACTGCTCAGGCTCTTTACAATGGGGGCATAGACTGGAAAGGGAGATGGGAGGCTGAGAGAGTAGGTGGCCCAATGAGAGTGTTGGGAGGCAGAGTTGGGAGGCTGCTTCAGGGGACCAGGCAGAAATGAAGATATTTGCTGGGGCTAAGTTTGAAACTCAGGATTTGGGCAGAGACCTGGGGTGTGGATACCAAGCCAGCAGCAGGCTGTATGTGTGCACAGGCACATTGAGAGTGAGCCTGTGAGGGGGCACAAACAAGCATATGTGGGGAAGGCCCGGGTCACCAACCTCCCCTTTCCTCACAGGATGCCCACCTATCTGAGGTCAATGCTGTATGTTTTGGCCCTAACAGCAGTCTCCTGGCCACTGGTGGGGCTGACTGTCTTATCCACCTCTGGAATGTGGTAGGAGGTAAGGACCCACCCCTCCCTGCAGCCCAACCCAGTACTTTCTCTAAAGATCTACTCTCAGCTTGCTCCTGGGTGGGCCTCTTTGTGTTTGCCTCTACCTGGAACATTCCTGTGAGCAATAGCTAGAGAACCCCTCGGCAGGAGCAGGACTCTGAAGATGCCTCTCCAAGGAAGGGAAGAACCCCTAGGCCTGCAAGATGGGGAGGGCTGAGTGCAGATGGGCCTCTGTTGGGGGAGGGGGAGGTCCCTTATCAGTCTTACAACGACAGACTTTGAGGAACAAGTCCTTGGGTTCACCAGGCCATCACCTCTTTTGGTATCACTCCACCTGCCAGAAGTCAGGAGACAAACATTGACTGTCCATCTTGTGCTAAGCTCTGTGCTCTACAACTGGGTTAGGGACTCAGAGCCAACCCCTGGAGGCTTCCTAGAGGAGGCAAATCTCCAGCTGGTCTGGCCTGGCTTGCTGTGTGACCTATGGACAGTCCCTTCTCTCTGGTTTTCTCTAGCCCTATCTGGGAAATGCCTAGCTTCCCCCTGAGGCCCCTGTAGTCCAGGCTGTAACTGTACTTGGTGATTCTGTGCTCTAACTTAAGAGAGACTCCTGTTCCCACTCTGGGTTCCAGTTCCTCTATTTTGTGAGTGACCTCATTTCACCTGTTCCTTTCCCTGCTCTCCCCCTGCCCTGCCCTTCCAGGTCGTCTGGAGGCCAACCAGACCCTTGAGGGAGCTGGTGGCAGCATCACCAGTGTGGACTTCGACCCCTCGGTGAGGGGACTTTGCCCCAGTAGCATGGGATTATCCCCCCACACCCCAGACTCTATCAGTGGGCAGAGACTCCCATCAGTAACAGTATCCAAAAGCTGGGTCCTTGGGCTCTTGCATATACCACTCCTGCTGGCCTGAGGCTCCTTTGTCTTCCTTGATGACTTGGGCCATGGGAACCTTTAAGGCCACCCCTACCATAATTCTCTGGACTGAAAGATGCTGCCTTTGGCCAGGCCTAGACTCAGACCTCTAACACTCCCCATCTCTCCAGGGCTCCCAGGTTTTGGCAGCTACTTACAATCAGGCTGCCCAGCTCTGGAAGGTGGGAGAGGCACGGTCCAAGGTGAGACCTGACTGGGAAGGCAGCCTAAGGGTCAAGGGTCCTTTTTCAGGATGAGGGAGGTGCTATTATGGGGTCTTGGCCATGCCTTTGATCCAGACTTGGGATGGGGGCAGGAAACACTGTCTGGACACAAGGACAAGGTGACAGCTGCCAAATTCAAGCTAACAAGACACCAGGCGGTGACTGGGAGCAGAGACCGGACAGTGAAGGAGTGGGACCTTGGCCGTGCCTACTGTGAGGCTCAGCTCCAACTCCACCTCCCATCCCCCCCTTCCCTCAGATACAAGGGAACCTACCCTGCTTTCTGGGAGTGGCTCTGGGATTCAAAGACATTTTGGGTGAAACCTTCCAAGGTCATCCTTCTCTGTGCCCCATTGGTGTTCCCTATCTGATTTCTTCATGTCTTTAAGCTTTGGGTAGATGAAGAAGAGGTGGACTGACCTGGGCTGGGAAGATCTGGGTTCTAGTCTTGGGAGAACACTGCCCCTTTTGGACCTCAGCATCTCTACGTGTCTACTGTGCTAGCTCCTGACAACCCTCTGAGACCCTGGGCTCTACCCCTTGGTCCCTAGGTTCCAGAACTATCAATGTCCTTTCCTATTGTAACGACGTGGTGTGCGGGGACCACATCATCATTAGTGGCCACAATGACCAGAAGATCCGGTTCTGGGATAGCAGGTGACAGGCAGACTGTGGGTGACTGGTGGACCTGGGGTCAGAGTGCTGGAGTTCTTGCTCCTTGGCAGGAAGGGTCATGGTGGTTCCTTGGGGGAGTGAAGCTATGGGGCTGGCACCACCAGCTGGTATCCTCTGTTGGGCACAGCTCCTTGAGGCATAGCGCTCCTGGGAAGCTGTGCCATTTTCATTGTGACTTCTCAGTCCAGTACTGACTGCCTGGGCTTTACAACCAAGATGGACAAACAACTTTTTCCATTTTATTTCTACTTTTTTTCTGGTGCCAGAGATTGGACCCAGTGGTTCACTACCACTGAGCTACATCCCCAACCCTTCTTACTTTTATTTTGAGACTGAGCCTTGCTAAGTTGCCCAGGCTGGAATCTTCCTGCCACAGGCTCCTGTGCAGCTGCAGGTCTAGGTATGTGCCTCCATGCCTGGCTACCACGCTTCAATAAAAAAACCAAAAAATGTTTTTAGTTGTTTTTTGAACAGAAGAGCCCAGCATTGGGTGAATGGTTTACAAATGCAGAGCTGGAGCCAGTGCAGGGCCCATGCAGGCTGGTCTTGCTGGTGTGCAGGGACTGCCCTTTGAAGCCCTTCCTTCTCTCAAGTTGTTTCAAGACAGACTTTTCATTGCTTTTCTTCCAGTGTTTATTTTAGTGATCCAAGGGTTTCAAGGGCTCCTTCTCAAATCAAAATCTGACCAAGTTCCTCAGTGGAGGGAGCTGGGTGTAGGGATAAGGGAGATTAGTTACTGGAGAGACCTGCCTCTGGACTTTGTTGGTTAGGAAGGGGACCATACCTAGTCCCTTCTTTTCAGGAATGGCTTGGGGGACTGTTCCTTACCCCTCTCTCCTCAGGGGTCCCCGCTGCACCCAGGTCATTCCTGTGCAGGGCCGGGTCACCTCCCTGAGCCTCAGCCATGACCAGCTGCACCTGCTCATCTGCTCCAGAGATAACACACTCAAGGTCATCGACCTCCGGGTCAGCAATATCCGCCAGGTGTTCAGGTACTAGACTCTGCCTGTTGACCCTGTGGCCTTTATTGGGGCAGCTGTGTTTCTCTTTTCCTGTAAAAGTTCTCTGCCTTTCTTGACCAGGACCTGCTGAGGTACCTGACACCTTATAGAGATGGGGCTCTCAAAGCCCCTGGTTGGGGACAGGACTGGCAGTGATCTCCATTCTGACCCCAGCCCTGTTTGTCTTTAGGGCTGATGGCTTCAAATGTGGTTCTGACTGGACCAAAGCTGTGTTCAGGTGTGTCTGTGAGAGCTTGCCCATCCTCGAGTACACCCCACCTGGTCCTTGTGTGTGTCCTTAACTGAGTCCCTTTCTCTTGTTCTGCTGTGGCCACTGCAGCCCTGACAGAAGCTATGCACTGGCAGGCTCCTCGAATGGAGCCCTTTACATCTGGGATGTTGACACTGGGAAACTGGAGAGCAGCCTTCAGGGCCCTCACTGGTGAGCAGACACTACCCTCCTACTAGTCCTGCCTGACACCAGGTTCTAACATCTCTCAGCCCCTGTCTCCAAACCTTCACCCTCCCCAGCCCTTCACAGCACCCAGGTATCCTTCCACATGTGTTTTACCCACTTGCAGATGAGGAAATGGGCTCACAGAGGGCCTCAAACTATCTAGGTCCAATACTGGGGGGCAGAGCCAGGCTGCAGACCTGGCTCCTGCTGCCCCTTGAACCCTACTCTCCCTCTCCTTAGTGCTGCTATCAACGCTGTGGCCTGGTGCTGCTCCGGGAGCCACGTGGTGAGCGTGGACCAGGGCAGGAAGGTTGTGCTCTGGCGCTAGGACTACGCCCCCTCAGCCTGGGCTGGAGAACAGCTTCCCTCCGCTTCACAGGGCTCCAGAGCCCACAGGATGGGGGTAGCCTCCAAATTTAATGGGGACGAAGGCCCAGAAAGACTTGGCCTGTTTGTTTAAAAACAGTGTTCTTGTTTAAAAAGTCTTTTTAAATTATGTATCTCCTCACTTTTCCTTTCTAAAGTTGGGGGAAGGGTGACTAACAAAATTGTCTGTTTGCGTCTTTGCAGCATTTCTGGGGTACAGGGAGACCTGGGCTGGGGGCTCAGGGAAATCTGGTTTGGTCTCCTCCTCCTCCTGCATAGAGCTGTTTTGGCAGAGCCAGCCCAGCCTCTGCCCAGGGACACAGGTTGCCTAGCTTAATCATGCAAACAGCATGAAGAACGGCTCAGGATAGCCCAAATCAGTGCCTTTTAGAGCCATGGAAATGTAGCCTTGGGTCCAACCTGGCCCTGAGGCCAAACCAACACAGTGGGCTGGAAAGGGAGCAAGCAGCCCATGGGGTCCTGGTGGAAAGGGTCCTAACAAACAAGAGTGATATCAAAGTATTTGGTACACTGGGCAAGCCTTTACACTGGCCCCCTTTCCTCCCAGAGGCAGGGCCCAGGTAGAGGAGGGCAGCTTAAGCCTGGGCCTTCATTTACCTTGGCATCAAATTTCACCCCCACAATATGCCTCAGTCCAGGCTGAACTCACAGGGCAGAACCCAGCACCCCACTTCTTTCTGTAGCCTAGGGTTTGGCACAGGTCAGCGAAGACAGAAAGGTATTGACCAAATGGCAAAATCTACTCTCATTGCTCCCAGATTGCCTACTTCTCCTGGCACGGCAGTCCTGAACTCTGGATGCCATACCCAGCTGCCTCCTGTCATCTGTGCATGTGACCTCTGCCCCTCATAGTACCAGATCCTGAGGCTGCTGTGCTTCATGCTTCTCTCCATCCCTGCTGCCACTACAGGCCACCTTAGATTCACTGTCTCCTCCCAGTCCCCTACTTGCCAGAGCCAGTGACTTTCTAAGTTGCCAACCCTTTGAATTTTCCCTGATGCCTTCAGAAGAACCCCTCAGCTTGAAATCTAAGCCTTTGGAAGCCACCCTGTTGGCCTGCATCTTCATTCCCTTGCTATTCTGAATGTGACTTGCATGTGCTTTTCTCTATCCAGAATGTTCTTGTCCCTCCCAGCCCACAATTAAAATTCGTCCTTCAGGATTCCCCCACTGACAGCCCTTTGCTCATCTACCAGGCTTGGTCCTACCCTTTCTTGTTTGTTATCAGCCTCCCTCCATTATAAGCCATGGAGCTCTTGAAAGAGGCCAGGATGGGAACAGAATGTTCCCTGGGATCAGGCCTGGCTCAGAGAAACCTCAGGGAATGTTTATAAAGTCATTAAGTTCTCCTATGCAGGCACTCTGTGAGTTCAATAATCTGGCTCCCTTCACCCCTGCCCCAGCCCTACTGCTCTGGTCCCTAGTGGCCAGCAGGGGTCACCAGCTGTCTGGTCTCTGAGGAGTCCTTTCACCAGCCTCCCCCCAGAGACTGATGGCTGAAAAAACCAATGATGTCCCAGTGGCCACCATTACTAAGAACTTAACGTGTCAGCCTCCAGTGTACTTCCTGTAATTTCATTTGTTCCTCTCAACCAGCTTGTGATATGGTTATCACCTATTTTACAGATGAGAAAAGATGAGGGTCAGAGGTTGAGTCAAGATCACACTTGCACACACCTGCATTGTGACTGCATTCATCATACAAATGTCAGACTTTAGGCTCCCTGGGCAGTGATGCACCGTGCCCCCTACCCACTTCAGCCACCACAACTGCCATCACTACCAGAGTGGGGGTGATTCCAGCTTTGTGTCTAGCTGGGCTCCCTCCTTGCATCTTCTCTCTTCAATTCTGACCCTTAGCCAGGAGGGTTAGTGTCCTTCAAAGTGAGGGGCAGGCAGGAACACAGGAGAGAAGGAAACTTGCCATTCAGATTAAGTGCCTCACTGGAAGGCACAGCTCAGCAGATCACAGACTGCTCAGACAGCCCAGGAGATGATGGGACTCGCTCTCTGGGATGCCAGCTTCCCTGAAGGCCTTCCTTCCACTTATGGGGGCAAGCCTGATCACACACTGTGGGATGGTGTGGCCTCATGGAGTACATGTCCACCTTAAATTTCTGTGCTTCCTGGAGGAGCAGATCTGAAAGGAGAGGCAGGCTGGAGGGAGAGGCCACAGATGCCCAGGGCAGGTGCTCAAAGGGGCTAATGATAAAAACCTCTCTAGGCCTTTCAGAAGTCAGTGCTCAAGGTTTTTTTTTTTTTTTTTTTTTTTTAATATTTTCTTAGTTGTCAATGGACTTTATTTGTGGTGCTGAGAATCGAACCCATTGCCTCACACATGCTAGGCAAGTGCTCTACCATCGAGTCACAACCCCAGCCCTTTTCTTTTTATTGGTAGTGCTGGGATGGAACCTAGAGCCTCACGCAGGCCAGGTAAGTACTCTATCACTGAGCCACACCCCCAACCCTAGTGCTTGAGTTTCTAGTACTCAGGCATTTGGGTGCTGTCTGCCTGAGTTTAGGTCCCTAGTCAAACTGGAACGACCTGTACACTTGCCATGTACATGAACTGATGCCCAAGGGAGGGCAGGAGCTTGTTCTAGGTCACACAGCAGAACTGAGGCAAATCACAGTGGCTTCCAGGCTCTATATTGCCATCTGTGAAACTTCCTGTCCCAAGGCTCTCCCCACCCCATCAGCCAGGGACACAGCTCTTCTGAGGGCCTAAGTACCTCCAACTGTCCTGCCTAATCTGAGGCCTTAAATGACGGACGCCCTTGTTCTGGTACCTACTACCCCTTGGTCATCTCCTAGCCCTGGCTCCTCTGTTTTCTTGAGACTCCCCCACCTTATGTGAGCCTGTTTGTGACAGGGGCTGAACTCCTGTGCCCAGAACATAGCCTGGTACAGTAGTTTGCTGAATGGACAGAGTAACAGAGCTGGTTTCTGAAGGAATCTTGACACAAGGTATGGACCCACTTGTGAGAATGTGTGAATATTTCCATCTTCAGACACACAACCTCAGATTTTAGGCTTTCTCTGAAATAATATCTTCAGCTCATCTGTACATTATCTTATTTTGATCCTTTTGGACTTTAGGAAGTTGGCATTACCTTCTCACTCCTACCTTCAAAGATGAGGAAAATGAGGGCTAGAAAGGTGAAGGGCTGAGCCTCAGCCCCTCAGGGCAAATCTGAGATAGCTCAGGGCTTGCACACAGTCTCTTCCCCCCATTTCTTCCTGCCCCTCTCAGCAGCCAGCTGTGGCAAATGTTTGGTACAGTGTGGAAGGGGTGTGGACCCTACTCATGGGTTCATTTCTGCAATTCTTCAGGATAAAACACTTCAGGAAGATATTCCCAGATCAGAGTTCTCAGAAACAGACATGGCAGAAGGACTATGTGTGGTTTTTTTTGGCCACTGGGACCAAGGGAAAATAGTCCAGGAACAAGATGCTCTTTGGCATTCGTATGGTTCTTGGCAGATCAGGCAGGAACAAAGCAAACACAGGAAGAACCTAGGTGGAAACTCAATTGGTTGTGTCAAGTGGTGGGGTTTCAGGACAAACTTTAGCTCTCTTCCTTTTAATCTAAAATTTCTATTATTTGGTTATATTTTTGTCAGGAAAAACTTTACAATGAAAAAAAACAAATGCAAAGGTTTCAGAGCTGCCAGATTTTGTCATAAAGCTACTTTAAGAGGGCTGGGCAGTAACTGGAACCAAAACCAAAAACTGTGGCTGGGTTCCCTCGGCAGGGACTAGTACAGCCTGGGATGTCATTACAACCTGGAGCACGACAGTTTGTCCCAGTGGGTGAGTCCAATTGCTGGAATTTTCTTTTCAATTTCTTGTTATTCTAAGAAGTCTTCAGCCATGGCTGGACAGTGTTGGTGGTGGAGTGGTGAGCATGCTTGCCTTCCAAGAAGCCTATCTACATGGTCTGTTCTCAGCTATGGTGACCTGCTGTGTGATATTCTTACTTGTATCTTAGAATAACTGAACTGATCCAGAGTAAGAGTTGGATAAACTCTTGGAAAAATCACCTCATTCCATTCCTTTTAAAGTTGGGGTTGCAGCAGCTTGGAGGGAGGATCACTCATTTAACAGCGTCAGGGCTGAAGCCAGATGACATCACATGGATTCTGTGTGGCTCTTGGACATGGGCTGGGTGGTGGGGTCAGAGAGGAAGTGCTGCAGGTCATATGCTAGGAGTCTGGCTTGACTGCATCAAGCTTGTTCCTAAGATGAAGGAGGCCAACGGTTAGCTGTGACACTGGGATGGGGCAATTAGCTGAACTTTGCCCCTGGTCACAGACTAAGCCTCCAGTGCTAACAGCCATCTCAAATGTGAGCAGCCTGTACTGCAGGGAAAGCAGAAGATGGAAATATTCTGTGTCCCAGATTTATGGCTGGACACCTCACACACATCCCTTCACACAGGCCTCTTGAGGGACCTGTGTGTTCCTGTACAGCAGGAGACTATCGAGGATCTCAGTTATGAAGGTGAGGACCCAGGACCCAGGAGGTGGGAGAAATGATGTGAGGAGTTTGTGGAGACCACCCTGTGCTGCATACTTGATATATCCTTCTTGGGACCAATAAAATGTCCTTAAACACACTCAGTTCATTACTTCTTAGGATGTAGCTATGGGAAAGTGGGGGAGAAGCATCCAGAACGACCACATCCAGGAAGCCAACGGTCACATCCTCCAGGCTCCCTCCTTAGCTCACCAGCATGCTGCTGCCCTCTTTCCAGCATGTCTCATAATATTGTCCTCACTGTATGTAGCCGTCTTCTTTCCCCACTGGGAAAGAACCTTGAAAGCAAAGACCATTACTTATTTCTTTCCATCTTTAGGATCCAGGATATCATACTTGGCACAAAAGTGGTCTCAGGGTCTGTGTCCCAAGATGTATTTACTTGCTCTCTGAATTTGTTAAGTGCTGTAAAGGAGGGCCCAAGAGTATCTTTGTAAGAAACATGGTATTTTTGGAAAAGCCTGTTGAACCAAACCTTTTTAAAAGGAAACTTGGAAAACTTAATTCCATTTTTTATTATTCAATATTTTATACATAATAAATACAAATTTTTTACAGCCACTGTAAAGAAAGCGCATCTGCACAGAGACTCTTTCTGAGCCCTGCCCTGTGCATGGTGATGCTGGGTTACATGTCCTGGAGGGAGGGATTATTTTTTTAAAAAGGAGGCATATTTTTACAACTTTGTTTTTAAAAATAAAATTAGCAGCTCTTTCAAGAAACATTTTAAGATCTAACAAAAGACTTCAACAACTTTCTGAAGTTGTGAAAAATCCAAATTCAAGGAAAATTTGGCTAGCTAAAGAAAGAGTAGAAGACTGGGTGGCAAGTTGAACTGCTCTATTTAATAAGCACTTTTTAGAATTGTAACATTTCAGCAAATTGTAAAATCTTTAAAAAACCACCCTTTTAATTGCTCTTTTAAACTTAAGAATAAGTTTGATAAACATAAAAAGACCTCAAATAGATCAACAGCTTACAAAATGCAAAAAACCAAAACCATAGAGAACAGTCAAGGGTATCGTTACTGAAGTGATCAAATGAATAACTGAAAACTTCTTCGGTTCTGACCCTACATTTTGTCAAAAATCCCACGGGGATGTTTGGTGAGCATTTCAAGTTTCTAAAGATTCTTAAGAGGGATGGGATTTTCAAAGCATAATACAACTTTTGGGTTAAATTCTAAAAAATCTGATTTCTTAGCAAAAACAGAAAAGCAACAGGCAAGCCTCCCTTAGTCCCTAGGTAACGCACTCCCTACCTTCCATGGGTGGAAAGTCAGAGCCCCACGCTATTCCCAGTGCTGCAGACTGCTGAACACCCCTCCCATCCCCAGCTCTCCTGGGACTCGCAGAAGGCTCCTCTTCCTCATCAGTCTGCACTTGTGTGGGATGTGCAGTCAGAGTCTTTTCTTGCTCAGGAAGCTAGTTTCCTCCACAGGCCCACAGGTTCTTCCTTCCTAGGAAGCATCAGGGAGGACCTGGAGTCTGCATTTTTCATGAGTGACAGCTTGTCTATACCAACAGCGACCAGGCTGTCTGGGTCAGTGCACTAGCCTGCGAACAAAATAGTGCTAGGGACCTCCCCGATAGAGAAGCTCAACAAGCAGGCATGTGTCCTTAATTTATCAGACACTCAGGTTCTAAAGATATTGGTCAGAAGAGTATATGCTGTAAAAACTGAGTTGAAAAATGTCCAAAGACAAAAAGAACATTAAACCGGCTCATTTCAGAACTGGAAGCTCCATCTCTGCTGTGGCCGTAGCCTCCTTTCTATTAGTCTATGTGATGGGCAAGATGTGGCTACTAGTTTAGCCCCCTCCAGGTTAGCCCCACTAATACTAAATGAATGGCATAAATATTAATACAAAGGACACTGTTATTATTTTAAATCTGTTAGTTGTGGAAGAGATGTGCGTTAATGCAACTGGCGCTAATGCAACGGGCAGTCCACTTTTTCCTGGTATGGTTTCACTCTTCATCTGGGGACGAACTTCAGGGAGGAGCCAGCCTCTCCTGAATCCCTCCTTCTGTTTCCTTTTGGAGCCAACAGAATCTGATTAATACTTAATCAGATGAGCAAAAGCCACTTGAAGAACGATGAGATCTTTGCCACATCCTTGTGGCCACAGTAATATACTGTACGAGCACACATGATCAGAATTCTGTGACTATTCCCTGGAATGAGGCCTGGACTGGAATCTCCTATAAAAATGGACCACTGTTAGGCATGAGGGCTGCTCTCCTCTGCTTCTAGGGCCCACTAGGACTTGTGCTATGGTAGGAGAGATGACATAGAAAATGACAACAAAAAAAGGCACAAAATATTCAAAACATGGGAGGAGTTCACCAGGCCACCCAGTCACAGAGAATCTGCCTTGGTTTTGCTCTGTTCAAGAGTCACCATCATGCAAAGGTGCCTAAACAACAGGATGGGCCAAACTCCAAGCCTGGCCTTGATTGTAGCGGTAACAAAGGGCAAGCCCATAGTCACACCAGTGTGATCTCCACATCCTCCATCTTCTCTGCTGGCCTTCGGTGGTTCTGTGTGGGTGGAGGGGGAGCCGCTCGGACCTGAGTAAGGAACAAAGTCTTGGTTTATAAGTCAGCTTCCAGACTCAGGCTGGAGCATCTGCAAAGTCCAACCAGTCCTCTATCCAAGGACATGGGCACGTACTTTCAGTGTAAATTTCCCACCCCGAGAAGCAGGTACTGTTCTGGATGATATATCAAGCCTACAAATGACACTGCTGCCTGGGCTAAAAGCACAACAGTTACTGAAGCCCTAAAATCCTTTTCCAAAGCTAAAGCCTGGAAGTGAAGGCAAGAGCGCAATACTTAGGGAAATACGACATCTCAGCATGTCTTGGGAGTCAGTTCTAAGAGAGAAGGCTGGAGAGGCAGGGTGGGGCAAGAAATGAAGGGCCTTGTTGAGACATGTTATAAGAAATCTGGGCTTGGGCTGGAATTGTAGCTCAGCGTAGAGCGCTCGCCTAGCATGGGTAGGACCCGGGTTTGATCCTCAGCACCACATAAAAATGAAGGCATTGTGTTGTGTCCATCTACATCTTAAAAATAAATATTTAAAAAAACCCTATATTAAAAAAAAATAAATCTGGGCTTTATTCTGTAGGCAGGGGAGTCTTTGGTGGATTGTAAGGCATATCAGATCCATGAAAAGATGCCTCAGATAACAGTTTGGAGAAGAGACTGGAAGTGGGCAACAGGACAAGTGAGCTGACAACATAGGAGACTTTCCAGTCATCAGAATGAAGGCTGATGTGAACTGAACTAGATACCAGGAATGGTGGAAGCAGAACAGTGAAGAGTTTTGAGACCTGTATCCAAGGTAAACCTGGCAAGACCTGGTGATGACTGGCAGGTAGGCCAGGAAGGTCTGAGGGATGCCACCAGAGCACTGGTAGGATAGAGGATCCATTCACCAAGACAGGCAAAATGGAAGAAGGAACATGTCTTGGAGGGAAGGTAATTCACTAATTTTTGCTGAGTTTTGGGTGTTGGTCTCAGACATATAAGTTGAGATTACCACAAGTCTGAAGCTCACTGAGAGACATGATTCTGGGATTTGGTTCTCACAGTCATGGGAATAGATAACTTGGGGAGAATATGTTGAATGACTTCAAGAGAAGCAGTCTAGGGACAGGACCATGAAAAGTATCAGCAGAGATGGAGAGAAGAGGAGAAACCTGCTAAGGTCAATGAAAAGGAAGAGCTGGAGGTATAGAGCCAGCCAGCAAAGTGTGGTGGACAAGAAAATTAGCCCCGATTTCTCCATTTCTACTCTTACCCACCAGCCCATGTTACTAATGCCTCTTGCTTGGACAACTGCTCTATCCTCCTAATGGCTCCTGTATCAGTTCTGCCATCTTTTATTGGTCTCCACTTGGTAGCCATAAATATGTGTTTAAAATACAAAACTAATCACAACACTGCCCTGCTTAATACCTCACAATGGCTTCCAATCACATTTAGAATCAAGACCCAAGTCCCTGCCAGGTGTGGTGGCCCAGCCTGTAATCCCAACTACCCAGGAGGTTGAGGCATGAGTATCACAAGTTTGAGGCCAGCCTGAGCAATTTAGTAAGACTCTGTCTGAAAAAATAAATAAATAAAAAGGGCTGGGGCTATAACTCAGTGGTATAGTACCCCTGGATTTATTCCCCAGTATATATATAAAAAAAACTTATTAAGACCCAAGTCATTAATAAGGAACTCAAAGCACATCTGCTTAATGAATCAACCTAGTGGTTCAAGGAATGGTGATAAAGGGTCAAGGAAAACAGAATTGCAAAGGGTCCACTGGATTACCAGTATGAAAGCCATGACCTTGAAGAGGAGTGGTAGTGGAACTAAGATGGCAATAAAGTGAAGGGTGAGCATAGGTAACTATTTGTCAGAATATATCCCTGAGAACAGGAATTCTTTGAGGTCATTTAGTGTATTTCAATGCTCCTCAAAGAGGCAAAAACAGGCCTGGAAAATAGATTCTTTTTTTTTTAAATATATTTTTTTTAAGCTTTACATGGACACAATATCTTTATTTTGTTTATTTATTTTTATGTGGTGCTGAGGATCGAACCCAGGGTCTCACACGTGCGAGGCGAGTGCTCTACCACTGAGCCACAACCAAAGCCCCGGAAAATAGATTCTTAATAAACACTTGCTAAAACAATTGTTTCAATATGTTACAATTATACTACTTCAATGTTCCTAGAGCTTGAAATACAATTGAAATACACCTGCACAGTGGTTATCTTGTGATCTTACCATGTCAGTGAGAAGTGTTCTAGTATAAACTAAATGATCCAAAATGAATAGACTTTAGAGCTGTCGAGGCTGTTTGAGGTGGGAAACTGTAGATACTTTTCTGGCACATAACCCACTCTTTTTAAAATTTATTTTTTTAAATCACTCTTTTTTTAAATTTATTTTTTAGTTATAGGTGGACACAATATTTTATTTTTATGTGGTGCTGAGGATTGAACCCAGTGACTCATGCATGCTAGGCGAGCGTTCTACCTCTGAGCCACAACCCCAGCCCCTCAATCACTCTTTTTACCTTCCCAAATTCATTTCATCCTTGTTTGGCAACACACAGGGGCTGATTTGGATTTGGAAGAACTATGCATTGTATAACCCTGCCAGCTAGGAGACTTACAGGCCGGAGTTTGCCATATGAGGTCTCAGGAGTATGCCTTGATGCCTGTGAGAATCCTGGTGACTCAGCATGGAGGCTGTTTTCTAAGGGAGAGAATTAAAAAGCTCAATTAATGTGGTGTTGTGCAATAAAATGCACTCAGACCCTGCCCAGGAGGACCCTTACCATTTGTTGAAGGAGACCGGGGGAAGAGCTGGGCACTCCTCTTATCCGGGCTGGGGTAAGGACTGCTGGGAGGCTGGTCATACAGCGGTAGCGGAGGCAGGGAGGTTTGCGGCTTGGGGGAAGGAGAGATCTGCATAGAAGAAGGCAAGGTTACCAGGTGCTCTTGGCCTCAGGAAAGAGAGCTGGCTGCTTCTCTGCTGCTCAACACACATTCCTTTTCTCTGGGACTAAATTATGAGTGTTAAAGCTTGTCAGCCTTTTGCTTGTCAGCAAATGGACCTAAAATAACTACCCCAAACCGTTTCATGATGCATTTAACAGTTTCCTATCATAGATCTCATTATATTACAGATTTTAGTTTATCTTCAAACAGTTACCAAGTCAAACCATTCTCTAAGCTTTTCTTTTTTAATTGAAAATATGATAAATTAGTCAATTCAACAAGGCTAAGGAAGAACAAAAAAGGGGACAAATTGTACTGTTTTTACATATGAAGATACAATAATTGGCTGAGCTTCTTGTACGTGAGGCTAAGTTATTATCACGCAAACAAGATTGGCAAACACTTTCTTTATTCTTCTACCTGCCAGGCTGCTGTAACAGATCCCCAGAGAAAAACTGAACTGACTAAATTAGGACTTCCTGTAAATGCAAGTTTCCTACTGATGAGCAAAACCTTACAGCCCCTTTATTGTGGGACAGGGGCTCTGACAGGCCCTGGGCTATGCGGTAGGGCTCTGAGTGTGATGGAACGAAGAGCCACCTTAGAGTTGTACCACATAAACTAACCATGGACATAACACATTCTCTCTCTGATTTGTCTTTTCTCTCTCCACCAAACCAACCTTTGATATGCTATATACGATTTAGTATTTTGGTTAATGGATTCACAGAATGCAGAAGAATGAAGGCATAATAGGGTCATATCCCACAAGGGTCTGACCGTCAAGTCTCTGGTTTCTGAAATTCAGCTATATAGACATCTGGCAATTGAGGACTGGAACACGGAGGGTGAGGCAGAGAGACTACAACCCACTTTTGCCTGGTTCAAGAGACCCTGGGGAGTTATTTTCTTTAATCATGTTTTAAAGCAGCTGTTCTTTTCTTCTTTTCAGCAGTGCTGGGGATCAAACCTTGAACGTACTAGGTAAACATTCCACCATTGAGCCACACCTCTATCCCTTTAAACATTTTAAAATTCAGCTCTCCCCACTCTGCTACCTGAATCTCTTTCATCCATGGAGTATCACCATTTTCTGAGGCTGAAAGTTCTTCCACTAGCACCGATGGGAACACTCCAATCCGCCCATTGAATTCCCCTTCCCAGAAGCCATCGTCATCTTGGTTCTCTTTGTTCAAGATACGAATGATTGCTCCCTCAGGAAAAGATAGCTCATCATCTGTCTGGCCCTCATAATCATAAAGTGCTTTCACAAAACAGACTAGAAAGCAAGAGAGAGACAAATCTGGTTAAGAACAAAGACAGTCAAGGCTGCTTTTGCAACCACCCCTATGCTCACATGGCAACTCAGAGAGCACCACTCAAAGTTGTAATTATTTTACTCACTGTGATCAAAACAGGGAAACAAAAGACAGGAAGAAAGTGCTTTTTAACCTACTGAAGGCTTACTCCTAGGGTAATACAGTTTAGGTCAAATGTGACCAAATAAAGAGTGCCTTGTTTCAGTCTTTACCACTGGCATCTCCGTTGAGGCTGCCTGAAACGAGTTCTGCTTCCGTGGAATTGCTGGATGTGTGTGACCGACTGTCCAAAGCGGCCAAGGACTGCAGCATGCTCAGTAGGCTGTTCGAGGTGGGAAACTGTAGGTACTTTTCTGGCACATAACCCACTTGGCCAACTTTATTTCGAGCCTGGGTAAAAGACATGGTTATAAGACAGGTTTGCACACACAAAGGTTTGGACCGGACATAATAAGAACCAAAACAAACTCCTAAAAATGTCACAAGAGGGGCGATATGAGCAAAGGAATATACCTTTACCCAGTCTTCCATATCTCCATCTTCAATCACTTCTAACACCTCATGTTCCTCAATGGTCAACTCATCTGGTTGAGAAGCCTGCAATGGAGGATGGTCATGGACAAAATTAAAAAGGTTAGATAAAGAGCAGATGTGAGCTGGTCAGAACAAAAACTGGAGATCAAAATATTGAAATGATTTTGAGAAACATAAAAATTTTAATGCTGTAAAACTATCATAATGAGGTGAAGTTTTACTCTAAAAAAATGAAACAAAATAAAACTGCAACTAAAACTGGATCCTCAGGAGGCAATCAGGTCAATGATCAGCACTGTGCTGGAAGTGAAGGATGTGGGTTCCAAGCTTCAGCTCAGGTACCTAGTGGTAAGTTACTCAGCCTCCATTTCTTCAAAATGATAGTCCTGCCATTCTCTCGAGGATGGGGGAGTTAATGTAGGATGAATAAGCACAGAACCATGACGACTTGGGAAGCACAGGCAGAGGAGAAGGCACTGAAACGGAAGTGCTACCAAAGGCTACCATGGAGGTGCATGGAAAATGTAAAGGGCTATGTACATGGATTGGATGGAGGTTAAGCAATGCCGAGGGTTGATCTGGAATTGCTGTAAAATAGTGGCCCAAAGAGGAAAATTGTGGGAAAGGCCATGATTGAGATCAGGCAAAATTTGGATTATGCTCCAATATTAGTATGGAGACTGGGTTGATCCTTGGAGGTTCTACACAATCTGTGATGGCTTTATTGTCCCTGATAGTACCAGTCACCAGATTTTCCCTTAGGACCACAAAACCTGAGAGGAGACTCTCAGAGGCTCCACAGAGGGGTTGGAGAGTCTGTTTGGCTTTGCTTCCTAAAGAGCCTTGTATGTCATATTTTTTTTTTAAGAGAGAGTGAGAGAGGAGAGTGAAAGAGG